AAGCAGTAACAGTATTTAGATAAGAACTTCATAGAGAACACTATGCCAGATGACAAGGCATTATTAAAGATTCCAAAATCAAATGGCGGGTTATCACCAGCTACGGTGCATGATGCATTTAGAACTTCACTGCTGATGTTACTCCAAGCAGAATATCCATTCATGAATTGATTGCCACAATACAAGAAGTTAGTATTGCACGTTCCATTTCCATGACAAGCTCTTTGCCAGCAAGTGTCGAAACGCTCCACAGATAACAAGTACCATAATGCCCCAACTACCTGCAAAAAAACAAAGCAAATATTTCAAAAGAGAAGAAATAAAAGGTCGTTATTTCTTGGAGAATTGAACTGTAACTGTGAGACCATTATGCTATGTTTGGATTTTCAGACGTCCTAGGGAAATGGGGGGAGCTATCACGTGTACTTGTGGGCCATAATTCCACAACAAAAATGCTAGGGAAAGCTATTTTATTAACTTTGGTTTTAGTGTTCTTAATTTTTATTTAAATCTACAGTCTACACAAAATTAATAGTCTCATAAATGGAAAAGAACATCTTACATGACTAGCAAGCATGTACAACAGCAAGTAGCTGACAGCACCAGCCCATGCAGTTTCAGCAAAGACACCAGCTGTTCTTTTTAGTTCTGAAGTTAAGGGTAAAAGTCGAACACATCTAGGAAGATACTGGAACAAAATAATAAAAAGCAATGCTTGTTTTGTTGCAAGAACATCTGAACCTTTTGATCTCTGCAGAAATTTCCAGACCACAATCTGCAAAAGGCATGAGAAAATGACTGATAAAATCTGGGGATGTCAAAAACAGTACTTATCTTAGCATTTCGGACAAGTTTAAGCAGGAAAAGGGCTAAGTTTAACAAGAACTCTTTTTAGTGCTCTAAGGAATTGTGCCAATGCTAGTATGCTTGGAAAGATCTATGCACAAATACACATAGATCAAGTGACTTAACTACTATAGCGGCCTAATGTATTCCATACATGTGCAAAATTTATAAAAATTGTGTCACTGATCCAATTTTTGACTGAGAAATAATCATTTTGTTCTAGGATTGATGACAGCATGACACATTTTGATGACAGTATGACATATTTTTTTGAGAAAAAACTTATACACATAAGACAAGTTGCTCTGTTGAAAACTGAAAATGTTGATTGATAATGGTGATCCAATGTCATTTTTGTTAGTATACTTGAGCATTGAGCTTTTTTGCGTAGTTTCTTCAACTGTGCTCTAGATTTGTTAAGGAAAAAGGGTTAGGCATTTTTCAGTAACTAGCCCTTCAAAAAAGAATTGTAGATATCATGAAATGAGTAAATAGCAGTTGATAAAATTTAGGTCAAATAAAAATTAAATAAAATGGTTTGGAAAATAAATTGAAACAATCACACAGGAGTAAGCTGTGACAATAAGCCTATCTTTAGCATGATGTGATCACTCTAGAATCCGCTCTCAAACACTCCACATTTCTGAACATAACGAACTATGCCAAAGATCCAAGATTTCTTCGCCATATCAAAGAGTGAAATTATTGCCAACTCCCCCCCATTTAAAAAGACTACAGAGTATTAGGTAAAAGAAAACTAATTTTTCATAATTTGCTAAAATTGGTTTACAAACAGGTTAAATATTTTATATTTAATTAACTGAACGAATAAGTTTTAAAAATATATGATTCCATAAAACATTCTTCCTTGACCAAACAAGACTTTGTTTTAACGGAGGGATAAACTTTATCCACTAACCTGAGGCAACGGGAACACTGCAAGAAAATCAACGATAAAATAGGAGCGCAAGTAACGTTTAGCAATTTGTTTCGAATCAATCACAAGCTCACCACGACCAAAAACCCGAGATGAAGGGGCAATATAAGCCGTGCGAAACTGAACTGCCATATGCAAGAGATAGAAAGCATCAATTACTGTTCTCAAAGTTGTGGCTATTGTAGCCAACTTTCTGTCTATCCCAAGACAATGTGATTTATCATCGAAAACTGGAAGGTAGAAGAACAGAGGATCCACAGAGATGCCAAGAATGCATGATATGACAAATATCCTATTCCACAACAGAAGGAATTTATCTTGAGGATCAAATATCTTCTTCTCAAAGGATTTAAGATCTTCTGGAAAAACAGCCAGAGATACACCAAAGCCCAGAGACCGGCCAATTGACTTAAGTCCTTCAGAGCTTTTTCTCATTCCTTTCTTGAAAGAATTTGATGTTCCCCTTGTTGTAGGTCCCACGCGTTTTAAACCCTCGACGCCAAAGCTGCATTTGCTTGCTGTTACTGATGATGCCGGTGAGGAAAGCCTGGAATCCAAGTCATCAAGCCTGCACGCATAGAAAGTACAAATACACGAAAACTAAATGAAAAATATAAAAAACTAGAGCTTAGAAAAGCAGTGAGTAAGTATGGGTGCCCCTACCCATCTGATCTGTAATTGGATGGGAATGCATATGTAGTATTGGGGTTAATGGGTTCATGTAGCAAGAAGCATACTCACAGTGTGTATGGATAGGGTCCAGGTAGTACTGTACCCACAACTATACCTGAAACCCAATATATATTCCTACCTCCACCCCAACATGAAAGTCCCAAAAATTGAACACACAACGATAAAGAAAGTTTATTTTGAAAAAAAGTTAGTAGGCATAAAGGGTAGGACTAAGATAAGTACTCTAAGTTTGGGAGGTAATTAATTGATAGAACTAGAGAAGAAATATCAATTGGTATTTGGTGACTAATAAGTACGGAGTAATACCTAAAATTAGAAATGGGACCTTGTTTTAGATACCCCAAATAAGTAAATAAGGAGGGATCAGTAATATTGATATATTTTTCATATTAAAATATATTACTCTGTACTTGTTAAGGACAAAACTACAAAACAGTTCACCATAGCAGCTTTGATACCTTACAAACTTCTCTCGCTGCCCACCCAAGTACTGCGACTTAGGACCACAATCAAACATATTGTATACTCACAAAACACATAAATCTCTGCAGAAAGACAGAAGAGTTGAGGTTAGGGACCATCACTAAACATTTAAACCTCTGCATTATGCATGAAAAAAGCCCATAGGATGTTAGGACCGTCATTTGATTAAGTCTACTTATCAAAATTAGGATCAAGTCTTCCACTCCAAGTTAGAAAACCCTCCATCCAAACTAGCCCCAAAAAATGCAATATCCTAAAACTAGTAGAGTCAAATGCCTGGAATCGCCAGCAGATGAATAAATGAAGCCTTATGTCACAGGAAAAAACTATTTAATTCCAACAATTTCGTGCATCTTACTTCAGTAGTGAGTGGTTTAAATAGAAAATAGCTGGTCATTGTCTTAAGATTTTTCCAAAACTGATACAAATCCCAGATTGTTATCAAAATTCTAGTCTTCCAGGAAGATAATCCTGAAGCCCACTTAAATAATTTCAGAAAATCATCTTCTTAAAGAAGCTCCATAGTCCATGCTTCGTAGCTAAAGCTGTAAGCTTTGAGCGACTTGCATAGAGAATTGCGCAGCTCAATTGAATCTTCACAGAATTCACATACAAAAATTTAAAAAAACAAGAAATGCAGTAGAAAAAAGCAGATCAGGCGACAATTGGTATCAGCAGAGAACAAAGACCAGTTCTTACTCAGCTTTTCTCCATTTTTTTAAGGAACGTTTCTCCACTGTTTATCGTTTGTTTATTAAATCAGAGAGAAAAATAAACTTACAGCCAAGCCAAAGATGATGCCCGGCCGTAGAACTTCGAGCCCCCGGAGCTTGTTAAAATCGAGGCGCGTGCACGCCGGCGGCGGTTATTGGTGGTTTATGAAACCGTCGAACCGGTGCCGGAAGTGAAATTGCGAAGGAAAAAGGAAGGCATGATGTGAAACAGTGATAACTTTGACTTGACTCCAATAATCCAACTATGATGAAGCTTCTTCTTCACCCCCTCCTTCCCAAATATTAAAATAATCCCTCTGCATAATCATTCATAGTCATTTCTATTTAAAAATAACAATATTCTTGTAATCCTCTATTTAATAATATTTTTGTCATTCTTTATTTTATAGAATCTTTTATGTACATTTTTAAATAAAAAAATTATTTTTTATTGTTATACTAATTTTTAAATAAGTTAATTGTTCTGGTTTAAGACGTTTGACTAGAGTTATTTTGAAATCATTTTATATAAAAATTGGTGTGAAATTTAATTATAAAAGCTACGTATATATAGTTGCATCAAAAGATCTACAAACCTAGTGATAATATGATGATATTATTTTATCAAATGATTAAAAAAATAAAAAAAAATGAATAAAGTTTGACCCTATAAATAGTAAAGATGCAAATTAATTAGGGACGAAGTATTTACGAAGCACGGGGTATATATTAAAAAATTAAAATAAAAAGTTTACAAAATAAAAAAAAGATAGAATTTTTATTTTATCAACTAATTAATAAAAACAAACCATCACTATTAAATAAATAAATAAATAAATAACAACTACAACCTCGTATCTGAGTAATTGTCTAGTTTTAACTTTTTCATTCAAAATTGACTAACTTTGTCCATTAATTTAATAAAATTAGAATTAGATATTATTTCAAAAATTATTATTTTAAATTCATTTTATAAAAAAATCATTACTTCCTCTGTCCCTGAGTATTTTTCAACTTTTAATTTTTTTCCAATCAAAATTGGTAAATTTTAATCTCAAATTAAATAAAAATAGTTTTAGATTTTGATACGAACATAGTTTTTTATTAGATTTATCATATCAAATGTTTTCAAAATATTATTTTATCTAATTAATATACAACATATTTTTTTTAATTATATGTCAAATGTTAAAAATAATTGATCGAGAAAAGGTAAAACTAAATATATGGTAAAACTAGACAAATACTTATAAGTAGTTTTTAGCTCATAAGTTAGCTGATTACATGTTTTTGTGTATTTATAAGTTGACTTATAAGTTGCGTATAAACTAGAAAAAATAAGCAGGTCTTAGCTACTTATTTTTAAATCAATTTTTTTTATTTTTTCGTTTTGACCAGATTATTTACAAAACTATTCCCAAAGGTGTAGAAGATGGAGGGGAGCTAGAAGGCGGCAGCTGCTGGGCCGAGTTGACTCAGGTGTGTCTCGTGAACGTACTCTCGCGGCTCACCATGGAGGATCGGTGGAGATGCGCCATGATGGTGTGCAAGCCATGGCTGACCGCCTGCAAGGACTCGTCCCTCAATTCGGTTTTCGACCTGGAAACGGGCTTCGGCTGCGCCGCCGAGTTGCCTCGGTTTTGGACTCCGGAGTTCGAGCGCAGAGTCGATTCCATGCTCCGATCCGTAGTTCTGTGGAGCTATGGCTCCTTGACTGAAATTCGAGCCCGACACTGCTCCGATCGATCCCTCTCTCTGGTCGCGGGAAGGTGCGCGAATACGACGCTTACTTTTCCTATCCATTATGATTCTGTAGATTGAATTGAATGATCAATTAGTTTTTTGCATTGTGTAAAATGTGGATGCCTGTTTGAATCTTCCAATGATGGATTTGTGAAGCATTGGAGTGTGATTATGATGACAATTTTTTGAAGTTTGAGAATTTCAGCACAAAGCCCCTTCCTGAAACTTTCTTTCCAGTTCGGTTTACGAGTTTTGATTGAAAGTATTTTCAATTCAATTTATTTGATTATAGAAGTAAAATTAAAAAAATAAAAATTAAAAAGGGTTATTTCTTATGACAACTTGTAAATGGCTTCTTTCGAAACTTCAGTGAACCAAATCCCGGGAAAAGGCCAGGCGAGCCGCTGAGCCGGCTGGACCAGTGGAGTGAATGCTGAGGCCACGTCCCTCCAACTTCGGGTATATTTTTAGGATGCAGAAGAAGAAGACGATGCTTGATTTTGAAGAAAAAATAAAATAGATTAATTGCAATCTTTTTAATTATAGAATCAAACATTGACATTAATTAAACTTATTACCTCTCCCTGCAGTAATAACATGATCTTCTTTTGTTTGCCCAGAACACTCCTCAATTCCAAGCGGGTGGAAGAACTTCAACACAATCTGCATCCTTCCCCTCATCCATTCATCCTTGTAGATCATCATCATCAGCTTCTACACCAAGAAATTCCCAAATTCATCCAACGACATGAACTCCAAAACTCGGTTGATGATCCCATTAAATATCAGTTGCACATCTTGATCATACTCGTGCAGAGTACATTGGTCAATCCTGCTGCAGAGTACGTTGACTTGATGAGACCGAGCCAAACGTGAATCTGTTCTTCCCCCGTTGATGGTGTTCATAAACACCACCTTCAAACTTTCATCATCGGTCCTCAAGAACATGACGAGGAAGAGGAGGAAGTTATGGAGTACAGAGGAGGAGGTAATCCCACTGAAGAGAAATCAATAAGAAGATGCGGATATGGAGGTATTATGGGGAATTTCCGATCAGATATCCAACATTGCTAAGATCCGGCTGGGGTGCAGGATTTTGCACAGGGCTTTCGATCAAGATGTGCGGATGATATTTGACAAGATCGTCCACCGAGTTTTGGAGTTCATGTCCTTGGATGAATTCAGAAATTTCTTGGTGCAGCCGTGGGCTCTTCCACCCTTTTGGAATTATGGAGTGTTCCGGGCAAACAAAAGAATATCATGTTATTACTGAATCAATTCAGGGAGAGGTAATAAGTTTAATTAGTATCAATGTTTGATTCTATAATTAAGAAGATTGCAATTCATCTATTTTATTTTTTTCTTCGAAATCGTCTTCTTCCTCTGCATCTCAAAAGTCTAACCGAAGTTGGAGGGACGGGGCTGGAGCATTCACTCCCCAGTCCAACCGGCTCAGCGGCTCTCCTAGCCTTTTGTCGGGATTCGGGTCGTTGGGGTTCCACAAGAAGCCATTTACGAGATGTCCTTTTTCGGTAAGAAACTACCCTTTTTTAATGTTAATATAGCAATCTCGTTTGGTAGATTTTTATGTATTTTTTAAATATATAATTTTTATTTTTCAATTTTACTTCTATAATCAAATAAATTGCATTGAAAATAATTTCAATCGAACCTCATTAACCGAACTGGAAAGGAAGTTTTTGGACAATCTCAACAAAATAGCATCATCTAAGAGTTCTAACTTCTAACTGAGTAGAAGAATTAGATATATCTTGAAAGTGTTAGAGAGTGTTTTCTAGTTTGTACACACTTTTCTAGAAAGGTCTTATTGGGGATTTCAGATAAGCGACATATATATTTTGAACTTTGAAGATTATTTTATATGTTAGGGTGTTGCTAAATCCACTCCGTTTATGGTAAAATGGAGAACTTTGCCCTTAAAACACATAGAAAGATGTTAGATGTTAGCTAACTTTGAAGGGTAAATTTGCCCATTTTACATAAATGGAGTGGATTTAGTCATAATATGGGTGGATTTAGCAAAGTCCTATGTGTTATTATGCATTTTTCTTTGCATCACCCTCGAGGTCTGAGTTACCAGTTTAGTATAGTCTATTGATTCATGTGTCGAAGTCTAACGGTTGCTACAGCTGTCCAAATCTTCAAGTTCTCTCAATCCAGAGCTGCCCTCATGTCACTGATCAAGTCATGACCAAAATAGCCTCGGGATGCCCATTTCTCCGGGAAGTCGACATAAGTTTCTGCCACGAAATATCTCACGAGTCGCTGGCTGTAATAGGAATGAACTGTCCTGAACTAAGAGTCCTGAGGAGAAACCTGATGAACTGGCTCAACCCCTCTCAGCATTCCCACGCTGTCCCTAAGGAGTACCTAGACAAATGCCCTCAAGACGGAGACTCTGAAGCCGCTGCAATCGCGAAGCACATGCCTCATTTGGTGGCGCTCGAATTGCAGTTCTCCAAGATGACCGGGAAAGGGTTGGAGTTGATATGCCAGGGGTGTCGGAAGTTGGAGAGTCTGGATCTTTCCGGGTGCGCGAATCTGAGTGGCCGAGACATTTTCCGGGCTTCTTGTCATTTGAAGGAGATGAAAAGTTTCCGGAAGCCGGATTTGTTCATCCCGAGGGCAGAGTTCAATGGTGATAGGTATGGTCATTGGCAGCTTTATGATGAGCGTTTCCAAACTGATGCTTTCAGAATTTGATGCAATGGCACCCACACACAACCAGAGGTTTGACTGTTTATGGCTGTCAAAATTTATTAAGAGCTTCATCCTCAATTAGTAACTTGTTGTGGCTTGAATTTGGAGAAGTATCAAATATGAACATAAGTGAATTGAATGTAAACATTTTTGTGGTTTGGTATGATAAAATTGTTTGACAGGTATTTTTATCAACAATGTTACTTTAACTTCAAATATGTCACGAGATACAATTTCGCATATAAAACTGCTATGAACCCACCACGGGTGCCCTCACGTACGACAATTACAGACGATTTATACGTACACGGAAGCTAATCGTGTGTGAATATAGATGATTATTGTTTGTGTATATATAAAATTACTTGTGATTGTCATCTGTGATGGCAACTGTGGTGGGTTCTTAGCATGTTCCTTTTGCAGTTGTCATCTATGATGGCAACTGTGGTGTGATTGTAGCATATTTATATAGCCTTATAGGTCACGTAGTAAGAGTGCCCAGTTATGCCTGCAATGGGCTGTTTGTTTGTAAAAATTTAAAAAAAAATCAATTTATACTATTCCACGGAAGTTTGGTTCTTCGTTACCTGCTATTATTAAAAAAGCACTTCCTAAAATTGTGGGATTTAAATTTGAAAAATGATAGAGTTTCAAACACAAAGATTAAAAAATACACAATCTTACTATTGGTGAACGGTGAACCACACTAAAATAAAATAAAAATGATTTTAAATCATTAGAAAGTTAAAATATAAAAAGTTAAAATATAAAATAAACAAGTTTGTGTATTTTGTGACCTCTGTGTTTGCTGCCATAGCATTTCTCTTTAAATTTACTTGGAATGAATTGCAATTATGCAATTTCTTAAACATCAAAGAAGACTAAAAATACACGGAGTATCTTGGAAACATATGAAGAAATTGAAGCTCTGACGATGTTTAACAGAAATGATGTTTAACTCACGTTAATTAAAAATCAGCATGAATTTAAAAAATCAAAATTTACCGAAGTATACTCTCGTTTTACCATAATACACTCTATTAATGTTAAATAGATAACTTTACTTCTAAAAATACAAAAGAGATAACTAAGATACTCTTAATCTAATTTGTTAGGATAAAGTTGTCTATTTAACATTAAAAAATTAACCAAAACATATGTGGATATTTTCAGTTCTACGAAAGCTTGCGAAATCAATTGCATACTTGCATATATGAAAGAAATGATTTGTATAAATGACTCTAATGATTCCCATAAAAATAGATTGTCTACCTACTTTAACAAAAAAAAAAATAATTAAATAAGATCAACTGAATAAACTCTGACATGTCCCAATATCATTTGCCTGTGAATCTATGATCACTTTGCCAGATGGTGGAGAAGAAGACTTCACCACAGCCATTGCAGCAGAAAACACATCTTTCATGTACATCTCATTCCTCACCTTCTTCATGATCATCTCTTTCACCACACCAAAGTCCAATCCCCCACACAAAACCAGCCTTCCAATAATACCCCCGAAACCGGCGGGCGCTTTTGGCAAATCCATGGCAAGATCATCCAACACGCCAGCAAATTGCATGCACCCATTCCTCAAATCCTCGGAAGAAAATACCCTCATAGCGTGCAAGACCTCGAGGAGTTCTGACACGTGCTCAACGCAAGGCGGGCTCTTGTCTAAGCCAAGGGCAATTGCGTCATTCACAACCTCGGGAAAGTGTGACGTGGCATTTAGTTCTACGATACGCCGCAACGCTTCCTCCAAGAGCCCGAAGCTGAAGTATTCCTCCAAAAGTGCAACGGTTTTCTTTTTGAGCTCTACCGGGTTGAAGGTTTCTGCAGTGCTATTCAGAGTCCCTTTGGATTCGCAACAATGCTGGAGAAAGATAGCATGGAGTAAAACGTTTAGGGATTTCTGAAGTAGAGAATAAAACTCAATGAAAGATAAGACTAAAACTCAATGAAGTTAATTTAGAGATTAGTTTATACCCATTTTATATCTTTGTTAACTGTATTTTATATTAAGAGCTCTAAAACTATATAAAATTAAATTAAATATAATACTCAACATATCCATAAAAGCTTCACTGAATGTCTTTTAAAAGGCAACTTCAAAATGAACTTCACTAACATTTTACAGGATCCTAGCTTACTCTTACCTTTCCAGTTTCTGCAAATCCAGAAGCAGCCGTAGATTGTGAATGTCGGTTTGAGCCAGGAAATTGGTATGCTTGCTCCATGACATGCCCCTGTATGATGCCACAACTGCCCCGGGCAGAATTTCTCGGATTCAACTGGGATGCTTGCTCCATGGCATTTCCTTGTATGATGCCACATCTGGCCCGGGGAGAATTACTTGGACTCAATCGAGATGCTTGCTCCATGATATTTCCTTGTATGATGCCACAACTGCCCCGGTCAGGACTACTCGGATTCAATCGTGATGCTTGCTCCATGACATGCCCCTGTATGATGCCACAACTGCCCCGGTCAGGACTCCTCGGAATCAATCGGGATGCTTGCTTGCTCCATGACATCCTTGTATGATGCCACAACTGCCGCGGTCAGGACTCCTCGGATTCAATTGGGATGCTTGCTCCATGACATTGCCTTGTATGATGCCACAACTGCCCCGGGCAGAATTACTCGGATTCAACTGGGATGCTTGCTCCATCATATTTCCTTGTATGATGCCACAACTGCCCCGGTCAGGACTATTCGGATTCAATCGGGATGCGTTCTCCATGACATTTCCTTGTATGATGCCACAACTGCCCCG